GCTCTCAGATTCAATCAAAAATATCTTTATTTGTCTTCTGAAGATGAACGAAGGTCTTACGGGGTTGGTACAGCATGGGGGTGAGTAATTAATGACTTAATTTCATTTTTGGGTGAACTAACCCTTTAACTAGTCATGCAGGCTAAGTTATCTTGTAATTTACTAGTTAAGCTCTAAGCCAGTTTGATATTTCGTTCCCACTGCGTCTTAGACGCAGCCGACAACCTTCTTTTTTCGGCAGAGAACTCTGAGGAGCAGATGATGCGCGCGCTAATATAATATGACGACGTGAGCGTCAACGCGGCGCGAATGGTGATTCTTCTATATCCATAGACAATCGTTATTCTGATGCGTAATTTTACACGATATGCAGCCAAACATTTCACGTGTGTTTAATCTCCTCGCTATTAGCAGACGTTCCGGGAGTCTCCCGCATATTGATAACGATGATTGCAAATCAGTTCAAATCTCGAGCAAGAGCGCGCGTGCAAGACAGATCAGACAGTGCTTCAATAAACCGTATAGTGCGCGCACGTCGGAGAGGGAGACAGCGAGAGACTGCGTGTGTGCGCCTCATGCCACAGACTCAGGCATGGAAATCAGGCACCGAAATGTTCATTCTAATTCGGTCTGGTTACTACCGTTTACGTCAGAACCGGTTCCCTATTGGCACCGAGTTTCGGTACCCAACCCTAATCGAGACACAACTGCACCTCAGACAGCAGGAGATCAAGCACATCTGTATCAAGACACAACTGAGGAATGTTTACAGCACCTTGTTAAATCTGTGCCACTAAGAATGAAAGCAGTTCTGAAGGCAAAATGGGGTTCAACCCGTCCGGTACCAGCAAGTTTTACCTAATAAAGTTGCCAGTAAATGTATGATCCTATTAAGATCCTAAAAGAAATGGTTACTAAACAAACAAGATATGGTTCTATAGCTGAGATGTTTCTGTATTATGGGCCTTGCAGAAAAATCACAGAATGTTTTGTGGTACATTTGACATTCAGCCAAAAAGTTTAGACCCTTCATCAACGTTGTCATAAAATGGAGCGTGTAAATGAGGGACAATCTCTATCTCAGAGGACGCTTTGCTACACTCGCCCTAGCTTTAACTGAAATAAAGTGCCTGCCCTTTTTAGTACTCCTTGGGTAATTCTAACTCTGCAAGTCTTTCATCACTGTTGGCACAGACTGTATCTCAGAATGTGGCAGGGACAGGCACACGGGCATCTACAGCTACGCAACTGATATTAATAGCTGGACTGGGGATAAAGAGTGTGTATGTGTGTGTGTGTGTGTGTGTGTGTGAGAGAGAGAGAGAGAGACAGAGCGAGCGCAGAGGAGAAACCAGTGGCGGATTAAACAGCAGAGACAAGGTGACCTTTCATTATGATGGTTATTATAGACCACCCGTGTGTGTCGGGTACTGCAGCTCAGTGATGTCTGTTTGTGTGTGTCTCTACATAAGTGTGTGCATTTTTATTTTCTGGCAACTTCTAATGGAATCTACTTCTGGAGGTGGAAAACTCCATGAACGCAGCCATGAATGACCATTTAGAAGAGGGAGGGTGTTTACTGCATGAAACAGCTATTTGGCCCTGATGACTGCAGTCATTTCTACAGTCTCTGTTTCATAATTACATCTAATGATGGAGCCAACGTGAAAGTCAGTAAATGAAAACAGCCACTGGCAATAGCAACAACAACAAAAAAAGACACCACAGTACATACAGAACATGAGTCTATATACAGCATCAAACAAAACATGCACATCCAAACTAAAGAGAATCAGTCTTTGTAGTAAATCAATTGGAATATAGATATATAATATATAATTGATATATTTATGAATCTAATCCCAAAGTCTTTTTTCTATATTATATTAAAATAACTTTGAGTGAAATAAATCTAATTATAAATATATAATAACCAAATTAAGACATATCAGTGAATGGATTTAAAAGACTTTGGGATGATGTGACAACTATAAGCAGTGGTTAAAGGAGAACTCCGGCGAACAATGAACCTTTGGTCTAATAAAACATCGGTACCTAGTCAACCGTTCTCTGAAATTTGTTTTCATGATAATCGAATGTAAAGAGTTTTATCTCTAAAAACTGTTTAGCGTATAATGCTAGTAATGGGGGCATTGACTAAGTAAAAAGAAATCTCTAGTTTATGCCACTAACAAGGCTCAAAATAGCCCCACACTAACGCAGTAACATAATGAGGCTCCATACATGCAAAACGAAGCATTGAGAACTTTGTAAGTGTACAGACCGTTTAATAAGAAGATATTTTATGAAGACAGTTCACTTCGCTTATACAGACAGGAGCCATCTTAAAAAATAGTCTCGATAAGTCGAACCACGAACGTCGTGCTGAGTGATCTGAACTCTATGAAGTTCAACGAACTTCTAAACTGTATGAATGGCGTTCGGGGATCGACTTATCGAGACTATTTTTTTAAGATGGCTCCTGTCTGTATACGCGAAGTGAACTGTAATTTCACTTAAATATCAATTAATAGGTAATTATCATTGCCATTTAAGTGAAATCACTGAAATTAAATATACAAGCTTGATAAAAATGATCATTCTAGAAGAAAATTTCAAATGGCACTTAGAGGCTTTTGCATCTGAACTCTTCATATATATATATATATATATATAAATTATGTATAAATCTATATACAGTATACACATGAAACTATTTCTTAAATATATACAAGCATGTATGTGTATTTAGATAAATAAAATAATTATACAAAGTGCACGCACATATATTATGTAAACACAAACTTTTATTTTGGATGCGATTAATCGCGATTAAACGTTTGACAGCCCTAATTACAACTGAATTAAATACTGCTATTATGAGTTTTTTTTTTTTTTAATGTATATATTTTTTATATACAAATAAGAAATCTTGGGGGTAGGGGGGTATATACTTTTAAACATGAAACTAAACCGCCAGTCGATGGCGGCAAGTAAATGTCTCAATGAGTGAGTCATTGAGTCATTCATTCAAATGATTCAATCAAACGGCTGATTCATTCAAGAATGAGGCAGTTGTTTAAAAAATGGGTCACTGAATCTTTGACTATTGACCGTTTTGATAAAAACACTGAATCATTAAATAATGAAATGAGATGCACAATGGCTCTGCTTTGATCATTGTTTGGAACTATTTCCGCTGCTGAAATATAACAAAAACAGTCAATATTACATCTAAAATGTAAGTGTCTTAATATTAACTACTTCTTTATTGAACTGTCATATGAAATCAGTGTCACATTTACAGTCGTGATGGTTTTCAGGAATACAGCACACTTGGTTGTGTGATGTTGCTCACCTGTAGCCTGACTGCGTCAGACTTTGCATTTCCGCTCTATTTCAATTCGCTTCTGTACTCACTCTGAGACATCGACATGTCCCTCAGTTTTCCTCCGGCCTGAAACCAGCCGGCCAATCAACGAACAGAGGGCGGGCTGAGAGCCGTGATGTAGACGTTAAGCACAGAGTTTGAGATTGTATTTTAGGTTAGGGAAATCAAAAAGGACCGCAAATATGGAGACACAGGATACAACTCCACTCTGTTGTGGAGAATATTCCCGGCATTTGCAAACTGAAACCCGAACAAGAAGAGTGTTTGTTAAACATTTTGAATGGAGGTGATGTTGTGGGCCTAGGCCTACTCCCGATAGGTTTTGGCAAAAGTTTACTTTATCAACTATTACTGATCGTCAGCGAGAAACTGGGCAGGCCAAAGGCCGGCAAGGCGATAGTTGTAATTGTGTCCCCCTTGGTTGCACTCATTGAGGATCAGATTAAAGAGACAGCAAATCTCGGTCAGCCATCTTCACTCCGGTGGTTTTCGCTCGATGTTTTTGTTTTGGCAACATACGTGTGTTTACAGTGGAAGTTCGATGCGGCTGAGCTGGCGAATAACACGTCCTAACCAAACGTTATGTGATTGGCTTACGGGTAACCAATGATTTTATGCTTCAGACAAGCACATGAAAAAGCAACAACAACAACAAAAAAAACTTTTCAATTATGCCATTCCAGACTCTGTCTACAAAGCAAAGCAAAGTAGAGTTTGGTAATAACCAGGCTAGCTTAACCGTATCAAATGTCTTACATACAAAACAAAATCCCCCAAAACATTTTTCTGCAGTATGTTAATGGAGTTTCTTTGTGTGTGCTGCGCTCATTTACTTCAATTTCTCCTGCGCAAGCCTCAAAATTACCAAATTAATCACAATTAATGTTTTCTGAAAAGCCCCCAAATGAAGACAATTCAAAGACATTGCATTATTGTGGCAGAGGAAAGGATTGAACAGACTTTACAAAAGTGGCTTTAGAAATCAATTGATTTTTTTTTTCTTGTTTCTTTCTTTCACTGAAAATAAGCCAATAACCTGCCTGCAGTCGATAGAAATCAATTTTTATGTCAAGTTTGTCAGTCTGTTGACTTATTAAGGCTGTAATACATTACATGATCTTTACCCAAATGTTTACCCATACCTTTACCCATATGCAGTCTTGGACAACTTGGCGCTATGTGCCTGAAAGTCAGCACTGAGTCAGCTGGCCAATCAGAGCACTATAATATACTATTCTAGAACACCCGATAACAAAAATAATGATTAATTTTTAAATAGCATTATGACCATTTTAATATGTTGAACTACCTGTGGTTAGACTGTTAGAGCACCTTTTTGAACTTGACAAAACCTGACATTTCCAAAAAACACATTGAGACCTGTTGCTTAAAAGTGAGGTCAGTTCTGCTGAAGCATAATTTGCATGAAGATGAAATTTTCTAATCTAATGCAAACCATTTTAAGCATTACGTGTGTACAAAAACAGGGACTCTGAATCAAATTAAAGGCAATCTCCTCCCAAAGGCTTTTTTCGTGATGCCAATTATACAGTGTGCATGTGTGTGTTCCTGCGTGCACTCACAATTATGCACATCTTATAGGACCCACCTCTTTCAGGCAACCCATGAAATTATTGCTGACGGGAGATCCAGGCAGGTCGGCGGTGCTTGGGCTTCCCCCCACATAGAAGAAATCATCTGAGCCCAGCATAGTGTAATCCTCCTGTGTGTATCCTGTGGTGGTCAGTATACCATCCACTGATATAGTAACCTGTGAAACGATGACAATATAGAAAGACAACAAATTAGACACCCATTTGAAGATGTGCTTTTAACCTGAGCGATAACCTTTCTTTTTCGGATTTGCCCTCATTACGTGCTGCTTACTGTTAACACTCTGGTCCATTGGTCTGGTTAAGCTTTATTGGTGATAGTTTAGTATAGGTTCACGGGACAGGTAAAGAAAATATTGCTGATGAATATTTTCTTCATCTTTTGATGGGTTAAGAAAAATGAATTCTTATCTGGTTTGGAATATTACTAATTAGGGTTAGTAAATGTTAAAACCAAGGACAAATTACTTGTACTTGTTTTACTTTTAGGAGGGGGTAAACTACTTTATATTACAAGTTCAATCATACACATAAACAGACATTCAGACACATACTGAAACTTGAAAACGCATGCATTAAAGGAAGACATTAACCACTGGGAAAATCAAATGTTTGATCCTTTTTCAAGAGGTCATTCTGAATAAACATGAGAAATGATTCATTGGTTCAGTGGAAAGGGGGAGGAGCTAAGCTACAACAGCCAATTAGCAAGCACCCATGCAGAACTTTAAATAATAAAAAAAGCAGCAGGAAAGCCAGGCAACAAGACACACGGCACAGAAAACAACGTGCAGAACACACACGCGGGGGGGACTTGGGTGGAAGTGGAGTGAAAAACTAAATGTAGTGTTAGTTGTTGTGAGAGATGAGGCTGGATGAAACGGTGGAGATGAGGACATGCCATGACTGGTGTTGGACGTATCAACTGCCAGAGTTCCCAGAGTTCTTAGGTTTCTCTTGAGTGTTCGTTTATTTTTGGGAGGCTCTGCAGGGTGGAAATCTCCCTTCTGGACATCATTCTTGGAAATCCTCTGTCAGTTATTGCCGACCATCCTCGCAAAAAATGTGGAGGCTTGGTGAGAAAAAAAAACACTTTACTAGTTCCTGTGAGAGTCCCAGTGAGGATGTGAATCTCTACGTAACATTAACGTGAGGACGTAAAAGCCAGCCTGATAAATAAAACAAACAAAAACAACAAAACTGTAAAAGAAGGGAGGGAAGTTTGAGAGGGGGTAAAGGGGGGGAAATGTGAAAAGTCCTGGTAATACAAACCCATTTCCTCATTTTTTGAAAAGAGTGTCTAGAATGAAACTCAAAGAAAAAAGAAAGAAAGGGAGAGGGACACACGGCAAACCAAAAAAAGGACAATAAGAATGATATCTACCAGACAATGTAGTTTGTTTACCATAGCGTGTCCAATGCCTGAGTGCTTTCAGGAAGAAGGGGGAAGAAAGGAAATCAAAACAATAGTGAACAAAACGGTTGTTAATAAATGGACGAAATTAAAAGAGAAAGAAATTAATGATGAAGATTCAGGGTGTTAGTACATTAGTTTGGTTAGAAACAGGTTAGTAATAAAAAAAATGATCCCATGAATGAATATTGTTAGTCTCAAAAACTCTTTTCCCAACATGTGAGAAACAGGAAGGGAAAGATAGAAAAGAGGATGAGTATAATAGCTGTTATTCGTGTTATTTATAGTGGGGACATGTGACCAATAGACCAATAGACATGGGTCCCAATTGTTGACAATATGACTAATCGTCAAAGGACCGGCTTGACAATTATTTAGGTAGATTGTTGACTAGATTTCAGTGGCAGAGCTTTAAGCATGCTGGTGGTTTGCCTTTATGTGTTTAGCAAGATAAAAGACTCTCTACACCTTTAGTCTTGCATGCCATTGCACCATAGGGTTGTTGAGCGTTACATCATGATTGTTACCTTTTCAAGCTGGTATGTTAAAAATAGTTTATCTGTTGAAAATGCAACTCCAGAATTTCTCTAATGTGAACACCCCTTAAAAACCTCATCAGCGCCTAGTAAATATAGAAAATATACAGTGTTTTTTGTGGCTCACTGTACTTTATAGTTTCAGCAGCTGAAATAGAGATAAAGTTAATCAAAATAAATATTCTGTAGTCCTCAAATTAATTTGAGTCCTCAAAGTGATCTGTAAGAATGATTGCTTCAAAACACAGCAACTCTGTGTGGTATTGAGATTGAGAAAACAATTCAAATCATATATATATATATATATATATATATATATTTTTTTTTTTTTTCTTTTTAACTGTTGATTAAAATGGTACATTTGATATTACATTGTGGGTGTGGAAATGAATAGAAAAAAATGTAGGCCACATTTTACTGGTATACATAAGACATTTGGCATTATCAGGACCCACAAATATTCCCCTATTTAATACATTATATTCAAAATGATATATAGTAGTTTAATGTAGCACTGACACTGAAGCACATAAATACATATTGTTGATACATATTGTTGCATATTTGTATTGTGATGACAGTATATTGTTACACCCCTAACACGGAGTGATTCATAAACTGCCCAATTTAATTTGTGGTAGTATGATGGCGCACATTTCTTGAATTTCACAGATAAGTTATAGTGAATTCAGTTTTTTTTTTATATTTATTTTTTTATAAATAATAAGTACAGAATTTGTATATTTACATATTTTAATTATTAGGTGGTTTGCAGTCACGTGATTGTGTTGACACGCGGAACGCAGATGGAGGGCAAGGAGTGAAGAGCGCAATGGACGAGATGGAGGAAAATCTGTACTGTACTACTTTAGACGCTATTACAAGAGAAATATATAAACAGAAAATCGAAACATATGTTGGACATTATCCTTACATTATGAAGAGGACCGATTTTCAACTAAATTGAGAGATTTGCCTGCCAACAAGGCTGTAAATATCAGCAACTAACTCATCTTACAGACATACTTTGACTTTACAAAGTTCGGAAACTGGTACGTTACACAAACAGCCACATACGTGTATTTAAACACCTGAATAATGTAATTATAAGCCACATAAATAATGTATTAACTCATTTGACATTTGACGGAGTGATCACTGCACACACACACACACACAGGCATTTTCCCATTCGGCTCTTCCCGACCGCAGACGTAGGTTTACAAGGCATTTTTTCCCGGTGTTTTACTGTCAATTTCTTGTATTTTCCCCCCTTATGAACAACAACTTTTGTCACACGATAAAAACTCCTCGTGGTTTGATCGATTTGAGCAACCGTAAACGACGCAAAACATAGGCATTTTGAGTGTGTTATAGTGCTTCCTAAATATAGAAATCACTTTCTGCCCTCCATCTGCGTTTCGCGCCATGGCAACGCAGTTGCGTGACGTTACGTGAAAACAAGCTATTTGTTAAATTGATTGAGTTCTTAATAAGGTCTTTAAAAATAGACCTTTTAAAACCTATTATAAAGTAAATTTATTCACTGGCTCCAGCAAGCTCTATTTTCTAAAGGTTTAGTCTATCCCTGACAATACTTTTTTTAAACCGTAACAGGCATTATTAAATTATTAGTCTACAATCTAAATATCATTCATGACCTAAGGCTTCACAATTATGAGACATAAAACCAGAATGTCTGTGCACCCCCCAACTGTCCCCACCATTCTTTAAAACAGTGATGAAAGAGAGAGAGAGAGAGAGCTCCTTCAGTCTATCAGCTCGTACACTCGTCTGAAAACATCACATGAGGGATGTACTATATCTTTTACCAGTCTGAACAAAGTAGTGACATGAAAAAAAGCACTTACTTGTCAAGCCCTCATATTTTCACTCCATATAAATCTGCCTCACCTGCCAGTGAAGTTTAAGGTCAGCCAAACAAATCAAGCATGGTCTCACTGAAGACTCGCACTGAATCCATGAACATACGGCTGGCCAGCAAATACAAACACTCTTACTGCTGCTGATTAATCGAAGGCTTCGTGTACAAGAGAAACACTACCCAGATAGCATGGAAACATTGATACAATGTTGAGTTTTGATCCAAACCAACATTTTGGTTGAGGTTGACATTTAAATGTTTAAGGATTAGTATTGAAATGTAGATGAAAGCCAACAGCACACATGGGTGGCAAACACAGTTACACTGACCTAACAGCAGTGGTGGTAAGTAACGAAGTAAAAATACTTCGTTACTCTACTTAAGTATTTTTTTGGGGGATCTGTACTTTACTTGAGTATGTTTTATTTGCATCTACTTTCACTCTTACTCCACTACAATATTAAAGGCAAAATTTACTTTTTACTCCGATACATTTCTCCGTGCCCGCTCCGAGTATTTATTACACTTGGCTTTTCAAACCAATGAAAAACATGGTTCCCTATCGAGGGAACTCAACACTGCGTCGATAAAATCGACTCTTTGGGGACGCTCCCTAAGCGTGCGCCTCTGAAGTATGAATGAAACTAATCCAATCCTGATTGGTGTTGCGTCGTGACGTAACATGTGACGGCATACCCGGAAGTATAAAAGTGACGCTGTCACAACACACACTAGCTTTCGCTCTTCAGCAAGCGCTCTATGTTGAAACTGTCTGTCTTATTTGGTGTTGTTTGTCTTATTATTGAAAGAAAGTATGGCCAGTGAACAATTCAAGAGGTGTGTGCATCCCTGCCCTCGTTTCATCACGGGTGGGGACGCACACTCTCTATGTGTGTATTGTTTGGGAGTGCAGCACGCACGGGCAGCTCTCGAGGGGGCTGCCTGTGAAATGTGTGAGGCTTTGCCTATTAGAGTGCTGCGCTCCCGGCTGGCGTGCTTTGACGAACACGGTCAGGCTCGCGTTCCCCAGGGTTCCGGTCCCGCATATGTCGAGGCGATGCGGCGACTGAGATCCTGGGGTTCGCAGCGGGATCTGGCGGAGGAGAGTGAGAATGCTGAGGCATTTTCTCGCTCGCCATCGGCTGGTCCCGCAGCCTCTGAGAGTGGTGTGGGAGCCCGCGCTGCGGTTTCTCCTACCCGCGATCAGGTCCCGGTGCTTGAGCTGTCTACTTCTGAGGAAGGGGACGTGCTCAGCATCGATGCGGACGACCGTGATCTCAGCACGCCATCACGCGGCCTGGGTTATGAGGAGCTGGTGGAGGTTGTGACACGCGCTGTGGCCAGACTAAACATCAGCTGGCCACAACATGAGCAGGAAACGCAAGTCACCAGTAAAATGGACGAGCGTTACCTGCAGCGCAGGTCACAGCCTCACCGCCGGGGTCTGCCGTTTTCCCTGATCTCCATAAAGAGATCTCGAGAACGTGGGAAAGACCGCATTCGTCCCGTATTTCGAGTCCCAATGTAATAGATTACAGCAATGTTATGGGGGCTCGAGATATGGGATATGGGAAGATGCCGAAGGTGGAGGAGGCTTTAGCGAGCTATCTCTCTCCCGAATCGGCGTCTTCCCTAAAGACCCCGGTGTTGCCTAGTAAGCCCTGCAGAGAGACATCTGCATTGGTGGGCAGGGCTTACATGGCGGCGGGTCGGGCTGGTTCGTGTCTGCACTCAATGGCGATTTTGCAGGCATACCAGGCCGACCTCCTGAAAGATTTGGATGAGGGGGAGGGGCCTACTCCTGAAGATGTCGCGGAGTTGAGGAAGGCCGCAGATTTGTCTCTCCGGGCCACTAGGGAAGCGGCCAGCGCTATTGGCCGCTCTATGGCGGCCATGGTGGCCACGGAGAGGCATCTGTGGCTGAACTTATCCGGTATTAAAGAAAAGGATAGGTCCTTCCTGCTGGATGCGCCGCTTTCGGCTTCTGGCCTGTTCGGCGACGCCGTTAATTCGGTTGTCGACAGGTTTCAGGAGTCGAGAAAACAATCTGCGGCGTTCCAGCAGTACCTCCCCCGGAAAGCGAAGGCCAAATCTAGTAGGGGGGGGCAAAGCAATCAGCCCCAGCCATCAGCCAGCTCCTCCCACAGGGCAGAGCAGAAGGAGAGCGTTTCCTCTAGAGCCCCCCCTCCGGGGTCTTGGCAACAGAGGAAACGCTCCCAAAAACCGAAGTCCTCCAGCCAGAGGGGCGACCTGAGGGACGTCATTCAGGCTAAGAGGACTTCGGAAAAGAGGTCCTAGCCAAGGCAGGACTTCAGAGGGCTGCCCCCTCCGCAGTGAGACAACCGAGGTTGTTCTCACAACGGGGCCCTCTAGGAAAAGATGCAGGTCCGCCGTTAACAGCGCTTCGGGCCGCATCAATTTCCAGCGAAAAGACACCAGAGGCCAGCCTCGAGAGGCTGGTACCCTTAGCAGATTTTGTAGAGGGATGGTATCATCTTCCCAACATATCTCCATGGGTCCTGCAGATAATACGAGTTGGGTACAGACTGCAGTTCGCGCACCGCCCCCCAAGTTCTCTGGGGTGGTGCTCACTG